GTGTGGAGGATTTTCCACCTCCATTTATAAGTGACTTAGTTAATGATTGGGAAAAAATTGCAAATAGTTTCATGTAAGACAAAATAGTTTGTAGCACAATGACTTTTGTTATATTGAGGAATCATTTTGGTGACAGCAAGAACCCAGAAGCAACCAGTTGGTTGAGGATGGAATGATGGCTACTTCATTGCGAGTCTTTCTACTTTGCTTCAGATAATATTGTGGGATCTTTTAACATCTGTCTGAATAGGGGCCTCTGTTTAATATCCCATCAGAAGGATGGCATCATCCGTGGTACACTGCAGTATCACCTAAGGTTATAGGTGTGATAGTGTTATTTCTCACTCAGAGCGGGGTGTTATGTACAATAGGTTTAAGGTTTTTAAGGTTTATCATCATAACAACTAATATTTTCCAAATCGGTTGATTAAACTCCTTAAACAGCTACAAATCTGCCAGACTATTCCACAAAACCCAATGGTTGCAGGGTGTTTTTGAGCATTTACTTGAATAGTAAATGGTATAACCTAATAATTCATACCACTCATAGCAGAAACGTTCAAAAAGCTGTTGGATAAATATGGGCTATGGGAAAATGCCAGGGACTGGGACTATTCAAATGGCTCTTTCGAAGAGCTGGCACCAGTAATGTAGGCCTGATGGCATCCTTCTATGATGTATGATCCTTTAATTCTAAGTACTCCTGCTAACCACTGCAGGTTATTCTTAACCAAGCCATGTGGTGAAAGGTCTCTCACGATAGCAGTGTGTTGTGCTCTTGGAGGTGAACAATTCTACTCATTGACTGGATCCCATTCATAGAGTTATAGAGTTGTACAACATGGAAACAGACCCTTCAGTCCAACTCGTCCATGGCAACCAGATATCCTAAATTAATCTAGTCCCATTTGCCAGCATTTGGCTCATATCCCTCTCAACACTTCCTATTCATGTAACTATCCAGATACCTTTTAAATGTTGTAATTGTATTTCTCTGGCAGCTCGTTCCATACATACACCACCCTCTGTGTGACAAAGCCTCACCATCATAGACATGTTTGTCCATGGAAACACTGGCAGAAATGCCCTCACAGAGACCTTGTGAAGACAAAGTCTCATCTCTACTGTAAAGCCGTTCCCTTTGTGTTCTCTAATGCTAACACTGTGGACAGAATAAAGACTGCTCTGGTAGCCCAAAGCTAGTTACAATGGGTCATCAGCAATGCCATAATTGTAGACTACCTCAATCTGTGACTTCATGGCCTGACATACCCTCAATTCTTTGCTCAACTGGAAGCCAAGTGATTTGGTTCAGGAATTGACAAAGAACAAAATCAAACATACCTTGGAATGAGTTCTGAATCTAATGCATTGAGCAATCTGTCTACTAAACATAAAGGTGACAGGTTATACATGGGTTAAGTGCCTCAAGATTCTTGAGGGCCTATTGTATCCATTTGTGAGTTGACAGACAATAGCCAGAAGGTGGAGGGGTTTACTTGCAGACCCTATCATTAGCTATGGTGGAACTCAGGACTTGGAGTGCAAGAAGTAAGTGTTTTCAATCTTTTGCAGCCAGAAGTTTCAAGTAGATAGATGTTTAATCCCACTACTCCTGCATCTGCCACTGTCTTAGATATCAGTGCCCAGCCAATTTTGTTCACCTCACTGAATATCATCAGTAGGTCTGTTAAGCTACACCTAGTCATCAATAACCTGCTTCCAGAAGTGCATGGCATATAACAGACTAGCGGATTGACGTCTAAGGCAAAGTCCTCCAGGGACTGAAGTATACTGGAAACAAAGAACAATGGTGCAGAGTTGTAAACCAGTCACCATGGGTGCAAAATGTCATTTCAAGGATTTCTCAGGGAAGCTACCAACCATCTACAGCTGCTTCATCAATGAAATAATGGGGTCGGTGATGGCCTAGTGATATAACGCTAGACTATTAATTCAGAAACCCAGCAGGTGTTTTGGGGACTTGGGTTTGAATCCCATCACAGTGGATGGTGGAATTTGAATTCAAAGTTGAAAAAAAGTCTGGAATTAAGAATCACTGATTGCAATGAAATCATTGCCGATTGTCGGAAAAACCCATCTGGTTCACTAATGTCCTTTAGGGAAGGAAATTTGCCACCCTCACCTGGTCTGGCCTACATGTGACTCCAGACCCACAGCAATGTGGTTGACTCTCAACTGCCCTCTGAAATGGCCTAGCAAGCCACTTAGTTATACCAGTTGCTACAAAGTCTCAAAGAAATGAAACTGGACAGATCACCTGGCATCGACTTAGGCACCGGAAAAGACAACAGCAGAAACAGCCCTGTCGACCATGCAAAGTCCTCCTCACTAACATCTGGGGGTTAGTGCCAAAATTGGGAGAGCTGTCTCCCAGACTAGCCAAGCAACAGCCTGACATAGTCATACTCACAGAATCATACCTGACAGACACCACCATCATCATCCCTGGATATGTCCTGTCTCAACGGCAGGACAGACCCAGCAGAGGTGGCAGCACAGTGGTATACAGTCAGGAGGGTGTTGCTCTAGGAGTCCTCAACATTGACTCTGGACCTCATGAAGTCTCATGACTTAAGGTTAAACATGGGCAAGGAAACCTCCTGCTGATTACCACATACCGTCCTCCCTCAGCTGACAAATCGGTACTCCTCCATGTTGAGCAACACTTAGAGGGCGCACTGAGGATGGCAAGGGCACAAAATGTACTCTGGGTGGGGGTTTTCAATGTCCACCACCAAGAGTTGCTCGGCAGCAGTACTACTGATCGAGCTGTTCAGGTCCTACAGGACATAGCTGCTAGACTGGGTCTGCGGCAGGTGGTGAGGGAAACAACAAGAGGGAAAAACATACTTTACCTAATCCTTACCAATCTGCCAGCTGCAGTTGCATCTGACCATGAGAGTATCGGTAAGAGTGGCCATTGCACACTCCTTGTGGAGATGAGGTCCCGCCTTCACATTGAGAACAACCTCCATTGTGTTGTGTGGCACTATCACCGTGCTAAATGGGACAGACTTCACACAGATCTAGTAACTCAAGACTGGGAATCCATGGGCCATCAACAGCAGCGGAACTGTACTCCAACACAATCTGTAACCTCATGGCCCGGCATATCCCCCACTCAACCATTACCAGCAAGCCAGGGGATCAATGGAGAGTGCAGGAGGGCATGCCAGGAACAGCACCAGGCATACCTGAAGATGAGGTATCAACCTGGCAAAGCCACCAAACAGGACTACTTGCACGCCAAACAGCGAAAGCAGCAAGTGATTGGCAGAGCTAAGTGATCCTCAACCAACGGATCAGATCTAAGCTCTGCAGTCCTGCCACATCCAGTCATGAATGATGGTGGACAAGTAAACAACTCACTGAGGAGGAGACTCCACAAATATCTCCATCCTCAATGATCGAAGAGCCCAGCGCACCAGTGCAAAAGATAAGGCTGAAGCATTCGCAGGAATCTTCAGCCAGAAGTGTCATGTGGATGATCCTTCTCAGCCTCCTCCAGTGGTCCCCAGCATTACAGATACCAATCTTCAGCCAATTCGATTCACTCCATGTGATATCAAGAACTGGTTGGAAACACTGGACACTGCAAAGGAAGGAGAACTACATTGTTGGAGATACTACCCTTCAGGTGTGAAGGCCAGGGAAAGCCATATCTGATCTCTCAGGTGAATGTTAAAGATCCTATTGAATCGGTTAGGATTGTATTCACTGGAGTTTAGAAGAATGAAGGGCGATCTAATAGAAACCTGTAAAATTCTACAGGACTAGACAGGTTAGACGCAGGAAGGATGTTCCTGTTGGTGGGGGAGTCCGGAAACAGGGGTATAAGGAGTAAACCTTTTAGGATTGAGACAAGGAGAAATTTCTTCACCCAGAGAGTGGTTGAGGCTAAAACCTTGTATTTTCAACAAGGATGTAGTTATAGCTCTTTTGGCTAAAGGGATCAAGGGGTATGGGGGAGGCTGGGTTTAGAGTATTGAGCTCAATGATCAGCCATGTTCATGTTGAATGGTGGAGCAGGCTTGAGGTGTCGAATGGCCTACTATGCTCCTGCCTTCAATGTTTCTTTGACACTATTTTGATAAAGGCCAGGTGAGATCTCATCCCTCAACTAACATTTACTAAAACGTGTTATCTAGCCATTGTTACATTCCTGTTTGTGGGACCTGGCTCTGCATGTATTGCCTGGCTGCAGCATTTCCTATATTACAACAATGATTACTCTTTAAAAGTGCTTCATTGGCTGTAGTGTGTTTCGCAACATACTGTGACTGTGAAAGGTTGCTATAAAAATGCAAGTTCTTTTTCTAGAGAGGCAATGAATTGAAGTTTGAGGTGAGAAGAAGGTTAGGTGAACCAATAAAGATAAATTGATCATCTTCTTGGGCCTAACGATTATTCCTAAACATCTATCCTCTATTGAAGATGAGATTTTTTCACTGTGGGGTTGAGAAAGGCAGAGGGAATTGCAGCAAAGATAGGAATTTAGACACTTCTGGGGAGAAGGAAGTTAAGACTGGATTCTTTCTAATGCTTTGTTTGCATCACCCCTAACGCATACGTGACCATGGAAACACACTCTCTGCAGGGACCAGTCTGCATTAATGTTTTATCTTTTCCACAAACTGTTCTTGTCAATTGAACAACCCTTCCTCTGTTTTTATATAGCATTTCCAACATTTTCCAAAAAAAAAAGTCTGTTTGTATAAGAGAGGTAAGTGTGTGTAAAACTGACAGGCCAGTGTCTGCCCTGAAACAGTGATGTTGAATAAAGATGCAGCAGGGCTTTCAAATTCAGAGATTAATGTTGCCCATCTTCTTTCTTCAGCTATGGTTTTATTTTAAGAATTAGCTGTTGGCTCTGCCTTCGGAAATGCTGCTGAACTGAGCTTCCTGCTGCAGGAGACTAACATCTGAGTTTCTTTCCCTGAAATAATTTATACATTGCATTTTTTCTTTTTTTCCAGTTTGGGTGCTTGGAGAGGATGAAACTGCGTTCTCTTAGAAGCAGGTAGGAGCTGCGGTGATCTGCTTTGGCTTAAAGCTGTTCTTTTTGCCTCTTCCTCTCTGTTAAGCAGTGAACGGTTTCAGGATCTATTGGAGGAGATCCTTAAACTGTCCCATTTCAGTGGTTCAAACAGATGTTCAGTGCCTAGGAATCTGGTCTAGGCGATGGAGATGGGTGTCTTTGTGTGTAAGTCGTGAGATGTGCCATCCAGGAGCCACCATTACTTCACCAACAAGATTTGTGGGGATGGGGGAGGTCTGTGGGAGGTGTCGATATCTTACTTTGGCAAGAAGCAAATGGACTGGAAAGCACAGCAAAAAGGAGGATTGTGGAATGCAATGGAGGGATAGCGAGGCTTGATTGGAGGGAGGGGACATACTCAGGTGGAGGGAGATGCCAGCCCAGACTAGGGGGTTGAAGCAGGGATGTGTATGTTGGGACTGTATTGGCTTGGGAGGTGTATGTATTGGATATGGGGTGGGGACTTGTTTTGGTTCAGGGGCAGAGGTGTGTATGCTGGGCAGGGGGAATGTATTGAGCTGGACTCAGGAAAATGGCATGTAGAATGAGGGGGGGATTAGCTTTGGGGGAGTGTTGACTTCAGCAGGAGTGTAGGGAATATCAGGTTGTGTGGCATGTGGGAGAGATGGTAAACTCTGATTGAGAAAGTCGACAGTTTGGGGGAAGAAGTTGTGATGAAGGGAGTGTTGAAGAGTCTGCTCAAGATGTTGGGGGAGAGAAAATTTGTGACGCGGGGAGGAATGGGGTTGGGGCACGAGAGGGGAGTGGGGTCGGGGCTTGTGGAGGAGGAGGGTCAGGGCACAGGGGGACTGGGATAGGGGTGTGAGGAGTGGGGTCAGGGTGTGAGGGGATAGTGGGGTTGGGGCACGAGGGGGGAGTGGGGTCAGGTTGTGAGGGAGGAGTGGGGTCGGGGTGTGAGGGAGCAGTGGGGTCGGGGTGCGAGGGGGAAGGAGTTCGGGGAACGGAGGTTGGGGGCATGGGGTATTGGGGTCAGGATCCAAGGGGGAGTGAGGTTGGAATGCAGAGGGGAATTGGGGCCAGGAAGGAGGGGGGAGGGGAGTGGGACATGGGGAGAGAGAATAAAGGTGTGAGGTGAGAGGGGGAGGGGCGCATATGGAGGGAGTTCGGGGTGCGGGGAGAGGGGGAGGGCACAAAGGAGGGGTGAGCAGTGGTTTGGGGTCGGAGCATGGGAGGGTGGGGTCAGGATGCGGAAGAGAGGGGGAGTAGGGACGTTAGGGGGGTGGGGGCCAGGGTGCAGAGGGGACGGGGAGGGTTGCAGGTTGAGGAGTGTTGCGGCGGGAGGAGAGGGTCGGGGTTGTCGGGGAGGGTTGGGGTGCAGGGCAGTGAGGATCAGGTTAGGTTGGGGTGAAGGTGTGAAGGGCAGAGTGTCATATCGGGCTGTGTTGAGTTGGGGGGAGCATGTTGCAGACAATTTAGGACTGAATGAAAATTTTCGAAAGGTTGTGAGCCCCATTTATTTCCTGCTGCAGCCTACAATCCCAGTCTAGGGCCATGATCCAGCCCCGCACCTGTGACCTTTGCTTGGACCCATAACCAGCTCTCTCTCACAGGGTCGTGGTGAAGGCCAATGACCACAGGTGCATGGGGTTGGTTAGCTCAGTTGGCTGGATGGCTGGTTTGCAATGCAGTGTAACTCCAACAGCGTGGGTTCAATTCCTGCATCAGCTGAGATTATAGCCCATTTTCTCAACCTTGCCTGAGGCATGGTGACCCTCAGGTTAAGCCACCACCAGTCATGTCTCTAATGAGAGAATGGGATTATGATGACTTTACTGTTTAGAGAGTTTCTACTCCAGCTCCTGTCAATGGCCAAGCTGGTGACATGCCTGATTCTAACTGGCCAACCCTGAAAGTGGAAAAACAGAGTGGGGCCCAATCTATCCAAATCCTGGCCACGTACTCTTTCCAAGAGTATCTGGTGAAGTCACCCACAGCTGGGGCAAGAAGGGCCAGGGATTATCACAGGGACACTTGAAGGAGAGCAGAGTGCTGTCTCATTGTCAAACAGGAATGCCTCACTCAGTTTATGCCACCCATGAATGGATTAACTCAGCTGATTCCGAAATCTTACTGTGCACAAACTATCTGTGAATTTATTTACATAACAATTACCTTCGAATTAATTCATTGTCGTAAGCCTGTGAAGACATTTCTGCATATTTGCCAGTTCTGTTTTCCTTGATAGAGTATGTTTCCGCCAAGTCTAACAACAACTCCTTTCTTGCACCCGTGTCAGTTCCTTCCCCCTCGAACCCAGTTCTCCATGGACACGCACACCAACATCTTACCTCCCCTCCAAAACATCCCCCCACCCACTTCCTACCGAACAACCCTCTGCCCACGTCCCCCATTGAACGTCCCCACTCACTTGCCCCAGTCATTCTCAAGCGACTGTTATAGAGTCAAGGAGTCAAAGAGATATACAGCATGGAAACAGACCCTTCGGTCCAACTCACCTATACCGACCAAGTATCCTATATAAATCTAGTCCCATTTGCCAGCATTTGGTCCACGTCCCTCTAAACCCTTCCTATTCATATGCCCACCCAGATGCCTTCTAAATGTTGTAATCATACCAGCCTCTACTACTTCTTCTGGCAGCGCATTCCATACATGCACCATACTCTGCATGAAAAAGTTGCCCCTTAGGTCCCTTTTATATCTTTCCCCTCTCACCTTAAACCTATACCCTCTAGTTTTGGACTCCCCCACCCCGGGGAACAGACCTTGCCTATTTACCCTATCCATGCCCCTCATGATTTTATTAACCTCTGTATCTTTAGGGTTAAGCATGTGCACCAAGTATTAGCTTTGTGTTTGACTACAGAATTTACTAAAGTTGAGCCCATTCCTGTCTTAATCATTGCATATAGAGACATGCACACAGGGACCAAGACAGAAATGGATATAGACAGACTCAGATGTAGACAGACAGACAGACACACACACACACACACATACACACATAGCAATAAGGTGCCGACAGACATACATACACTTACACAGGTGCAGACAGACATGCACATGCACAGGTAGACGTACACACATAGACACTGATACACAGACCGACATACAGACACACAGACATAAAGAGGTGCACACACAAATGCATACACTGACATAGGCACTCAGACATACACACATATACAGAAGGATACAGACTCAGGCAAACACAAATATACAGACATACAAAAAGACAATGCACACACAAGTACAGTGAAAGGCAAGGAGAAATTCTTGACCACTGGGAATGATTGATAATTTTCCATGCCCTCAGGGGTACTGAGGCTAAGTACGCTGCTCCCACTGCTTTAGTTAAATTAGCACAAACTAGGGAACGAGTCTGGGTCTTTCAGGTTTATATACACAAAAGTGGACGTGCCTTTGAGAGAAGCGCAAAGGAACAGATTTAACCCATTTTGGCCTTTCAGCCCTAACCCTTGAGTTTCAAAGTTTGTGTCATTTCTAATGTTCTTTAACATGCAGGTTTGGTGATATATCGTGCCTGTGCAATATTCTGTGTGTGGGATGAAAGAGCATGAGGCTCCATTGACTATCTTCTCACTGGAACGGATTGAATCCTAGGATGCCTTTGCTCCGCATTACACTTATACACAATCTGCTACAGGTCCCGTGCAATGGGAACTCCACGATCCACGATGAGTGAGAACACAGATGAGCAGAGTTTGTACAACAATGCATTAGCTTGGCTGATCTGCTCGGGGGTGTCTCTGCTGGCCAACACCTGGGGGATCCTGAGCATCAGCGCCAAGCAGAAGAAATGGAAGCCACTGGAATTCCTCATCTGCACATTGGCCGGGACGCACATTCTTAACATGGGCATCCCCATCACCATGTATTCGGTCATCCAGCTGAGGAGACAGCACTCGGACTATGAATGGAATGAGGGGCTCTGCAAAGTGTTCGTCTCCACTTTCTACACACTGACACTAGTGACGTGCTTCTCTGTGACCTCCCTGTCCTATCACCGCATGTGGATGGTACGGTGGCCAGTCAATTACAGGTAAGGGGTTGGGGTCAGGTGGGTGGAATGATGTGGCTCTCCATTCAATGAGGCCAGTGGGATTTCTTACAACTTCAGCTGCTTCGTTCATTCCCTGACTTGGTCCAAAGTATTGTTAGCTTTCTGCACACGTGTATCTTTCCTTCTGGTCACTTGGGTACCCGAAGCCTTTCTTGGCTTATTCTCTCCTGGATTTGAAATGCATGTGTACCCTCAGAATCAGTGCCATCTTTATAGCCTGGACATCCAAATGAAATATTACATTCACGTATCTCCAAATATTTGATCCAGGTGCTTAATTAATAGGACAATATCAGCTATCATCTAATTGAACAATGGAACAGGATCATGGGTCTGAATGGCCTATTCCTGTTCCTGTATGCATTTGGAGGGATTTTAGAGAGATACTTCACCCAATTCATAAAAATGTCATATCCAATAAACAAGCTAAGGGCCTAGGCATGGACACCTCTTTATAATTTGACATGGTAATGAAGGGCTAATTCTGCAGGCCAGCACTTGCATCAGAGAATAATACTTGCAGGGAGCATACTGAGCTTGCACCTGGCTGTTTTTGTACTTTCCCCTCAGATACACCCTTTTCAAAGACTATGCCAGCAGACCATGGCCTGCACATGCCTAATACTGATGGGATGTGCATTCCCAGAAATAAAAAAATGTACTATTAAAAAGCAAAGAAAGTGTTGAGTTCCTTAGACCCAAACTCTTCCTTATGCATCCCAAATGCAATCAATCCTCTGAATACCATTGTTACCAGTTTGGATTTTCCATGGCTCAGTTGAGATTGATTTCTAAAGGACACATTTACAATGGTCAACCTAAGATGGAATAGGAACAGAATCACAATGATGGAGGATGACAGGCTCTTGGCGAGGATACCTGGATATGGAGGGACAGATTCTCCTTTCCTGCATCTGGGTACACAGGATCAGCAGGACAGTACAGTGAGGAAATTTGGCGAGAGAACATTGTTAGCCAAACATCTATCCAGGACCTAAATCAGGAACAGGAAGACCTACATTAGAATTTGCACCACAGCTTCACTTAAATTAGAAGACCCCCTGCACTTCGAGCTGGCATGTGATTATCATAGAATCCCTACAGTGCAGAAAGAGACCATTTGGCCCATGAAGTCTGCACTGATCCTCTGAACAGCATACCATCCAATCCCTGTAACCCCGCATATCCCATGGCTAACCCACCTAGCCTGCACATCCCTGAACACCAGGGATCAATTTAGCATGGCCAATCACCCTAACCCGCACATCTTTGGACTTTCAAGGGGTAATTCACTGGCTAAAACATTTGGAGACATTTCTATGTGTTAGAATACTGTGTAATTGTAAAAATTGTAATATCATTGAAATTTTAGCACAGGAGGAGGACATTTGATCCGTTGTATACATTTTGGTACTGTGACCACAGAAGCTATTCTCCATTAAGTATGTTATATTTTCATTTACTTTGGAGATAATGACATTGTAGCAAGATCAGAACTTATTGCCCATCTCCAATTTTCCTTGGGAAGGTGGTATCGAGTCACCTTCCTGAACCACTACAGTTAGTGGCAAAGCTGTAAAATAGCCAGCTCTCGTTTTTACCTTCAGAATTCTTCCTTTAATCTAATTTCATCTTAAGACCATGGGTTATTATAAGTAAGAAAGCAGGCATTCTATGTAAAACATGAGTTTAACTTTTATCCAATTTATTTGGTGTCTCTCAGTGTCTATAATTCAAATTCCAATCTTGTACTTGCTAGAATTGACAGAAAATCACTGGTTGACTAGTCAAATCAGAATTGCTATCCCACTCTCTTTCTATTGCACAAGAGCATCTACAATGATATTACAGAGTTATCTGAATGATTAGTGCCCTTTATAGAATATCAGATCATCTCAGGTTTGAATCCCAAATGAAAGCTTGAGTACAGAATTAAGATTAATATATGATCTTCATACATCTAATCATGCTGGCCGCTTCAATTGCAGTCCTTCCTCTAAACAACTGCATGCAAAATTTAATCATTTAAACAGGACTTTCTACCTTTTAAATACAGTGTCTCCTCCTGCACGAGTATAAGGTGTGGTGAGTCTCCCGAAATTAGAGTCACCCTCTCATGACATGGTCAGATGGCAAGGCCGAGTTGTATAATTTTATGAGCTTGTCACCATGTCACTGGATTCTGGTAGCTGCATCCTTCTTGTGCCAAATTCCCAATTCCTTCTGGTCCCACCTGTGGACTCATCAACGGTAGAAAAACATCCAGTCTAGCACTGGTTCAAAATCCAAAATGTAATAGCTGATTCTATAGGCTTTTCTATCCTATTCCATGATCCATTCCTTGTATTTCTGACTAGAACACAGAAAAATTTCTCAAACCACAAACCCATTGTTACATCAACACCAAATGGATGATTGTAGTTGTACATGAATGCTGTAACAACCTGTCTTTCATTTTGTGCTAATAATCTTTCCTTTGGCTGTTTTAAGTTCTCAATTCCTAATGCAGATGTATGGTTACCAATCTTCCAGAATTGTCCTCGAGTCTCCAAACATTGAAGATTAATATTGTTACAATCTCCGCAGAAACTGATACTATTTAAAATTTGAACTTGCAGTTAATAGCTGGAAAGGATAACATGACAAGATTTTGTATTTTAAGATTTTTACTGTAACAAATGACTGAAAATGCTAAACCAAACACAATTTTTGTTGTGATTTATACTGTAATCTAGAGAAATGAACTTTCCTCTGTTATACTTCCCTCACATTGCAATTTCTACTGAAGTACAGTCCTTATAGCAAACAGTCCACAGAGGTTTCTGTTACACAACAAGTTTGAGTTTTCCCTGTAAAGATAAAGTCACCATAGTTTTACCAGACCATAGCCTGCTGTCTCATTAGAAACAGGGATGACTGATGGCGGTTTAACCTAAAGGTCACCACATCTCAGGAAAGGGAAGATGTTGAGAAGGAGATTTGTTCATTGTAACCTCAGCCAGTGCAGTAATTGAACCCACATTATTGGTTTCTTTCTACATTTTGAAGCAGCTATCCTGCCAACTGAGCTCCCTGCATCACCAAGTTGTAGCTTCAAGTGTATTGTACTTTGTATGCCGTGGTTTTTGGAGGCTGCTGCATATGGGAAGAGTTGCCTTCAAACAGGTGTAACTTCCATTCATGAGATGTTTAGGATAAGGTCTAAGTGTGCTGGCATTCTTTGGAAAGGTGCTGGGACCCCTTTTGGAGAGGCCAAGTGTCATTTGGGATGATTAAAGTAGATATCTAAAAAGTGAATAAACTCAATGAAATTGGCAAGCCCATTGGAACAGTCAGGCTGACAAGACCTTTAAAACCTGCTGACCTTTAAATTAAGGACAAATCCCACAGTTTAGAGGAAAAAATATCATATCTTCCTATTTTTCTTTGTTGACATCAACCTGAGAGAGATCATGATATGATTTATGCTGCATGGCTGATTTTGTATCAGTTGTTATCACTGTGGGCTATTGGATCAACAGCTCCAACTCTTTGATGTATCTATGAATACAAATGCTTATTTTTACAGAGAAATTATACAATTGAAGTAAATGTATTCATAAGTGATTGCAGAGTTGAAGAAATGTAAATCTAATGAATTATTTTTTATAAATGACAGTTTTTTTAATTGCAAAATAAAGTCTGCAATAGACAGATGGAACATTATTTTATTTCTTCTCAGATTTGCCAAAGTAGATATTGCGTCGATTGTCATAGGGGATAAAAGAGAATGGGGTAGTTTGTAGAGGCAAGACTTAGTATGAATTGGCATAGAGCTATGCATGGACATGGTGAGTGGGCAGAGGGACATAGCCTGCCTAGAAGTTATGAGGGGTATGGGGGTTGGGCTGGGGAGAGGGGATAGAGGGGAATAGTTTGGAAGGGAGGGTATGAGAGGCCATGCAGGTCTGGAGGAATAGGTTTACCTGAGGGTTATGGGGAGCAATAGAGACAAGTATAAGATGTAAAAGGGTATTGGTTAGCTTGGAGGCTTTGAGGGGATATTGGAGTAGATGGCGGAAATGAGATAGCATGTGGATGGCTTTGGGGTTGTGCAGGATGAGTGATAAGGACTGTTCTCTGTTGCTTTTTACAGCTAGAACAAAGAACTGAAACACTGAGACCTGGCTTAACACCCAGCCCCTAAAACAAGGTGCCACTATTTAGAAATCAGGTCTCACCCATTTAAAACAGAGATGAGGCAAATTTTGTTTATCTCACAGGGCCAATTGTATCTTCCTGAAATGGTGGTGGAAGCAGAGTCCTCGAATATTTTTAAGTCAGAGGTAGATAGATTATTGTTAAGCAAGGGGTTGAAATATTCTTAGGGTCGGCTGGAATCATAGAATTATCGAATCATACAGTAAGGAAGAAGACCTTTGGCCCATTGAGCCTCTATCGCCAAATATATATGACTATCTATACCACTCCCACTTTCCCAGGCCAGCCCAATAGCCTTGAATGATGTGACAGTCTTCAGTAGAATCTCTTCTCACAAGATTCAGATGAAGTCAGTGAATTTTGCAACTCTACCTCAAACTACTTTTGTAGATCTTGTGTTGACACAAAGTTGAAAGCTTGCTTTTAATGAAGTCTACAGAAATAATTTGTGGATTTGAGGTTGAAATCAGATCAGCCACAATCTTCTTGAATGCAGGGCAGCCTTGAAGGGCTGAACACCCTACTTCTGTGCATGTACACACCAGGCAGCCCCTGTAATTGCCACCAAAGTGTCTGGTCAGACTCGAGTTACCATTCACACTCTGCAACAACAATGTGAACATCCTCCTCTGTCGATTCACTTCCCACCATGTGATCACTGCCTTTGTTACCCTTCCTCCTTTTTTAAAGTGCTGTTGTTTTGATCTTTTCCCCCCAAAATTCCAAAACAATGCAACAGCTTAAAAACAGCAATTACTGCTCCTAGAAATCAAGGAATT